CGTAGGTCGTAGGCTGTAGTAGATCAAGTCTTCAGAGGCTAAGGTGATCAGTCTTAGACTCAACAAGTAATTCGCAGTGAAGGTGAGCTGAAAGTATCTGTGGTGATAATCACAAGTTGATTGCTGAAGAGCTATGGAAGTCTGACCATGAGCCAGGCTCAGGTCATACTATATACAAGTCTAGGGTAGTCTTCTTACTCTGAGGACCGATGTCTTCCGAGCGGTCCCCGGGTGTGGACCGCTTTCTCCATGTCGGTCCTAGGTCAGGACCGCTTATCTCTCGTCGGTCCTTCTTATCATCACGTGACTTGTACTATAGTTCTTCCGTTCCGAGTTGGTCCCTGTTGTTCCCGTGATCCTGCAGTACAAATGTCCTGTCCTAGCCGCCCGACGCCCAAGTGGGTCGGTTAACTGTTATCCATGCATAACGGGTCGTAACATAAACCACGTTATATATATAATACTTCATAATATCCCCTTATTATTATCTTCTTTCTTAACTACTAAGATCTTATTAATACTAATATCCTTTTAATATATACTTATAATATTAATATTCTAGCCTTAAAAAGCTTAAAAAATATAAATAGATTATTAAGGAATATATAGTAGATAGCTAATAAGAGGAAAGTAATAAGGAAGGTTATAACTTACTATATTAATATTAATATTACTTATTAAGCCTCTATATTACTAGTTACTAGCTAAGCTTAATAGACTAACTTATATAGCCCTTTTCTATAAATATACTATAACTACTAAAAGTAATACTCTAATTAAGCTAAGATCTATATCTTAAAACTAGTTAGCATTAGCTTTATTAATATTATTATTATCTCTAGAGACTAGCTTATAAATTAAACTATAGCTTTATTAATAATAAATTTAAACTTAAGCTGAAAGAAGTAATTTCTAGTTTCTTAAATATATATAAACTAATTATTAACCTATTAGTAGACCTTTAGTATTTAATTAGCTTAATATTAGCCTTAACGCTAAATTTCTAGAAGTTTTAAGTTAAGTATCTTAGCTAAGTTAAATATTTAGACTTAGTATAAAAAGAGGAGAAAGTAGTGTTAAGAGATAAAATAAGTAAAGTAGTAAATCAAATCCTCTCTTTTTATTAAGTTAGCTTAATACCCCTTTATATTAACTTCTAAGTATATTCCTAGTTATATAAATTGAAATATTAAAGAAGAAGTAAATCTTATTAATAGAGGTATTTTTCTATTTATTATTTTAAGAGTATTAAGTTAGAAGTCTAAGTTTTAACTTAATTAGTACTATACTTATCTATTTAACTTACTACTTAATTAAATCTTAGGAGATAAAGTAGAGGAATAAGTTAAGAAGTATCTCTAGTAGATTATAAACTTCTAATAACTAAGTAAATATATTAATAAGCTAGAAGTTACCTAAGGTCTTAAGCTCTACTTCTAGTACTTTATAAAGCTAACTAGTAGCTATATTATATTGCCCTAATGTATACTTATTAGTATAAGTAATAGTAAGGTTCTTAGGTAGTAATATATAAGTATATAACTAGCTCTATAAAGTTAAAAGAAGTATTAGAATTATTAGAACCTATTATAATATTAATTAAAATAATAATTTTAGTAGTTATAATAGGAGGGAAATTATAGGGATAAGTAATACCCTTAGATATACTGATATAATGAGGGGGAAAAAATAGGGTTGTTTTTGTAGGTCAGATGTATTAGCGTTATGTAGCACTTAATAGGAAATCACGGATACTACGCCCTCTAGTAAATTAAGAGCGCATAACACATCTGGTGCCAACTTGACTGAGACAAAAAAAAAGAAAAAAGAAAAAAAAAATTCCAACCCCTCACATAGTGACGTATGCGCGGCTCCAATTATTTCCGACAGGGGTCGGCGCTGAAAATTATTTCACCTAGCCTGCTTTGCATCGACGTGTCCCTCCATGTGGGCCCAGCAAATCAATCGTGTAAAGGAATTCTCCCTAAATGGTTTACTCGATGGGATCGTCCTGTCAACTCACACGACAAATCAGTTCATCATCTTGGTCCGATGACTCTAACTGATCTGACTGAAGGTGTTGGCCGCGGCCATGGCTATCCCGACCCACGAAATGGCGCACGGCGCGAGTCCCGTGGCCACTCGCGAGTCTTATATTGGATACAAGAAAGATACGCAAGGTTTTGTGGAATGGATGATCAAAACCACCAGTCTCATCCTCAAAACGCAGCCGCGCTCGGGCGAAAACGCCCAGCTGCCCACTGGAGTCAGTTCTTCCGGAGCGACAACCGTGGCCGGCCTGGTGTCCATGGCCCGCCTGATCGCAGACAGCGGAGCTGCAGTGTCTGGCAGCACTTTTCGCCGATTGATCTCAATCATCAGAGCAAGAAGAAACCACTACCACGCCTTCGTAGAGCATGCATCCACGTGGTCTGACACAGATATTGAGAAGAGCAACGACATGCACAGGCACTTCATCGACTCCCTCATCGACATTTTCTCCATCTTGGGTGGGGTTAGCTGGTGGGAGAAACAGATGGAGGCCAACGAAATGACCTCAAAGCGTCCCGATTCCGATGCAGAGCAAATTGAGGAGATGAAGGGCATAATCTTCAGCAACAAATTCGCCTCCCTCGATCTCAGCCATGGCGATTCCAAGCCAGAGCCGCCTTCTGAACCCGAATCTGACGCAGATGAGCCAGTTGCTGAGTCCAAGACAGCAAAGAAGAAGCGTGTAAACGGCAAGAAGGGCAAGGGCAAGACATCCAAGCTTGGAAAATCACGCAAACCTGCCAGAAAGGCGGACTCTAGCGCGGACGCTTCTGTGGAGAGTTACCGTATCCTAGAAGATGACCAGTTGCTGAGCTACACCATGGCAATACTATCCTTCAGAACGGAGTGGGCTCAAATACGACAATATGTACAAGACTTATGGATAGACGTTATCCACAAGAATCTGAACACTGCTGTCGCTGGAGCAGTCTCAAACGTAGCCATTGCAAAGATTAAGAAGACGGAGCTCGAATTATTTGACGACTTTCCCGAACACTGCTACTTCGAGAAGATTACAGACACTCTTACTCGAGGAGGCCTGCACCGCTTGCAGAAGGTTGCTGAGGAGAAGGCAGCAGCTGATCGCGATCATCATGGATGTTTGGTTGACGTCAAGGAACAGCTCCTGATGTATACGTACCAGGACCTTTTGGATTTCTGCACAGACTTTCAGAAAAGCCGTAACGGGAAGCCCACAAAGGCTATGCGTGCGAAGATCGGCCTGTGGGACCCAAAGCTCTCACTTGAAACTACCACCAAGGAGGAGAGGATTCTCTGGCGTCGAAAGTTCACCATCAATTGGCTCTACGACTTGGTCAATGAGTATTCCTCCTGGGAACAGACACAGCGGGGTGAGAGGTGCTTCTCGGATGATGTTGACTGGTCTCCTTCAGGCCCATCCAGCTCTCGGCGCACTCTGCTTGGTCTCACTGACTTCGCCGCGTTTGTCACCTCCCTGGCCAGTCAAAAGACGGGATCAGACCTCAGCTTGAAAATATCTCCCTGGCAGGTCTTCCAACTTCAGTGCATTGTGGATGCCACTTGTGTGAAATCGGGCTGGTCGCTGTGCTCGCACGGGGGTCATATCCTTGAGGCCCCCGCAGCCGGGTTCCTGGCCATCAGAGACATCAAAAGCATTTTTGACGAACGCGCCGAGGATGAAGCCGGCCATGATCACAGTTGTGGTTGCTGTTACGCATCGCACCTAAGGTTTTTCAAAAGACTTGCCCAGAAGCTACAGACACGGCAAGATATTGGCATGTACAATTGCAACGCAATAATCGAACCCGCTACGGATGTTCTCTCCTGGAGCGTCGAATAACTTGAATCCCGTCTTGGGCGCTGCAACTCCGTGCTCGAGGGTGCACCTATCCCACCGTCCCGGTTCGGAGTGCCCCACTCACTTTGGGCCCTTTCTCCTTTCCTATGCGGCGTTGGCCTCGCGGAAGCCCTTCAGATCATCTACAGCACTGGCATGCGCTTTTTGGACATTTATCCCATTCCGACAATGATGTTACATCTCGAACAGATGATTCATGATAAGGGCGGATACGAGGGCAAGGAACATGACTGGGGCCTGCCACTGGCTGGTATCATGAGAGGCCTCTTCAGACACTGCCTCTATGTGGAAGGGAAATGGCCAAGCAAAGGCGCAGCGGATGAAGAATACGTGAACGCACTCGATGCCTGAGCAGAGGGAGATGTCACTGCAACCAGGCGATTGAGAGCGAAACGAGTAAAGGACCCCGTCGCTTGGGGGGTAGCTTGCCCGTTTCCTATTAGACAGAACGTCAACTTCAACAAGCTGTCTCATCTGATGATTTACCAAGAGGCGGACTGGGATCCCAGCCGCATACATTACACATCACTCGAGCCAAAAACAGCACTCGCCGCGGTTCGCCTTAGTCGCGAGCCGACATACTTCGACCTGTTCACCGGCGAGCAGTCGGAGCCTACCGAGCTAGTACGACATATGTACGAGAAGGTTGGTTGGGACGATGATTGGTCCGGACATCAGATGTCGGTTGGGGAGGGTTTGTTCCGCACGTTTCTTACCATGGACCTACTAAAGCCTGCGAAAGCCAACGTTGAGCAATCCGCAGTCAAAAAAGACCTCTCCAGGGCTGTATACAGCAAGCTCGAGACGATTCTAGAGGACTTAGAAATCGCCAAGCTCGACTTGTGGAACGATATCAGCGGCCTTCGATGCCGATCTGGCATGGACTTCGCGTCGTTGAACATAGCCCTCACGATCATTATGGATGAAGTGGAAGATGCCCTCTATCACGCCAAAAACCCAACATTCGAAAGAATTTACTTGCCTCCAGGCAAAGGTCCAGACCCGCCAATCACGAGCAAGGTTTTCCGCTTGATAAGAGAGGCGATGGCTGGAAGAGATAAGGATATCTTAAAAGTGTTTGCGGACAAGTTTGAGAGCATGTGGGAAACTACACCCGCGTATTTGCTGTGGAGCGGGGATGCATGTCTTCAGATCCCAATCGAACGGACCTTTGATAAACTGGGCATCCGAATGCCCGAAGAACTTCGCGGCGATGTTTGCAGTGTAATGTAGAGAAGACAGAGTTCCTGAATGATGCCAAAGCTGCTGCTGGCTACTAAACCAAACTCCGACCTTTCGCAAACGAAGCATCAGACACCGCAATGTCATTCTCTGGGAATCCGAGTTGAATACTCCATTCCTCGACCTGCGGCTCCCGTTCAGCATTTGCCAATATACCAGAGCATGGCTAGTATTGCTCGATAGAATGTGTTTTTACAAACCAATGCGCACCTTCCTACTCTAATTTCTGAATGTTATGTTGGGTGAACTCTTGTAGACAGTCGTGATCTTTTGTCCTGACTTTGGACTCTGGCATAGTCTGACATTAAGACTTTCATTAATAGTCTGTCTCCCACGCCAAAACGCGGCTTATTTTCCAACCGCCAGACACCCGTCGCTGAAAGAATGAAGAGGGATCGTATTTGATAGCTACCTTCTTCAGGAACTCAGCGTTCCCTTCTCCATAGGATCCAAGGACATCCTGCTCAGGGTTTGCGTAGTTCATGTATAGGTAAGTTGAGTGGGCGTCCAGCGAAGCCGAGTATGCTCTTAACTCCTCCACAGACTTGGCAATCTCGGCTCTGGCTACGCCGTGGAACAAAGCGTCTTCGGCAGCAAGTGTTCCTCTGGCCTCAAAAAGAATCGAGTCAGAGGGGAGGTTTTCGTCGAATCCAAGAACGTTGTATCCAGGTGTAACGGAATGCAAGACCTTGGGTAATGGCTGGAACACGAAGTTGACCGATACCGGGACGCTGGCTTCGTCAAGTCTCTGCGTCAGTTGCGTAAAGATTCCGGAAGCCTTCTTCAAAATGTCTATGCTCGGCTGCAGTGTGAGGGTAAAAGGAATGTAGTAGGAGCCGCCGGTATCGGCAATGCTTGCGGCTATTTGACTGAGAGGTCTCTGTGCTCGCAAATCCCTTGTAAGGTTAAGTCGGTCGAAAGCCGCGAAAGTAGCTGAATTCTCGTTTCCGTCTGTGGCTACTGTCATGGCCATAATGGAAAGGCTACCGGCATCAGACCGATAGACGATGAATTCGTGATCAGGAATGCCGTGCTCAATCGAAGTGGCATACTTGACGAACTGATTGTTGACGGTATCGAGGTCAGACCATGAGGTGAAGAGCAGACCGCCATAAGCACCACCTGAAGGAACGGTGAACGTTCGCATGTCGAAGCGTGTGACTATGCCGAGGTTATTGCCACCTCCCTTGAGAGCTTTGAACAAGTCCGCATTCTCGGTGTTGCTGGCGGTAACGATGGAACCATCACCGAGGACGACTTCATACCCGATGACGTTGTCACATGACAGACCCCATAGCTGAGTATGATACGACGCACCGCCAGATACCAACAGTCCGCCTGCCCCAACGTGACCGGAGCGCCCCCCGGTCACTCCGAGGTTAAACGGCTCCAAGGTGCGCATAACATCACCCCATCTTGCTGCAGGTTGTATTTGAGCCACATGCTATCGAAAGGTTAGGCATCTTGTCAGAACTTCGGAAAGAGGTATCGAATGTATGATAAACTTACCTTGGTCAATTTGCTCGACCCTGTCCACGTTGCGGTAGCATTTCCCCCAATGCCCCCAAGAATAGTTGTCGAGTTCAAAAAGGTAAGATCTATCGTGACGCCACGATGAGCTGCATTGTTGTCGAAGTCAGAGTGACCACCGGAGCGTACGGCGATGTCCCAGTTGCCTGCGGAACTGACTGCACCCAAGGCTTTGACAGAGCGTGACACATCCTCGGTAGAAACAGGTTGAACGATACAGTAAGGCTGCACTCGTCTGTTTTCTGAAGAGTAGTATGAAGATGTGCTTTCACGGTAACCTAAATCTGCAGGGAAGACTAGCATGTCACCGAGGCCTGCAGCGATGAGGGCATCACACTAGGTGCAGATAAGTCAGCCGCAGGTTCGATACAATCCAGACGACAGCTTTGTCCATGGCAACTGGCACAGGACATACCCCTTTGAAGCCTGTAGGCGACAGACGTTGTTGTGCCGCTATCAAGGTAGACAGGCTGATGGGCGCAAAAGCGCGGAGACATTTTGCGAATTTCATGATAAAGGTCGTTTACAGACATAATCGTACCTTGATAATGTTTCGATGGATTGGAAGGCCAAGTAGATGAGCATTTAAAGACTCGTTCGCAGCCTTCAATCTGCGAATCAGAAGTCTGGTCAGATCAACCCGTGAGCGATGACGGCGAAGACTCATTTTAGCGACATCGCCCGAACCATTCAATGCTAGCACGGAGATCTGCACGAAATAGGTACGCAGACCCTCTTGTGCCAACCAGAGACCCATTACAGTCCACCAAATCCACGTATCGGTCGCTTCTGTTCTTATGTTCTACTATCGCCGGTGTATGTGCCGATGCGGCACAACACTAAAGAATCCTGGCCCACCTGCTGGACTGCAGAAGGACAATGTCGCTTGCATGCATTCGTATGACAATACCCGCTCAGGGCAACGGCCCAGCCGGCAAGGGCTGGCATACCAGTCTCCTCCGCGTACGGAAAAGCGAAACCGAGTTCGTCGTCAGCCGCTGGCTCGAGATTTTCCCCATAGATAGGAAAATAATTTCATAATACGGGCAGCGGTGTGCAGAAAGCTGTACGGATGATACGTGGTGCAAAGCTAAGTGGGGATTGAGGACTGGCTAGACCCGCATCCATTTTGCTCAATCTGAGATGAAATAATACCAATCTATAAAGACAGTTGCAAATGCTCTTCATCCAATACAGAATTTATATCAATGTGAAAAGCAAACATCCGATGTTTTAGACAACAAGGAGTGCATCAGTAACAGCGTGTATGGAGGAGACCTCCCCATACCCTCAAGTCTCTTAAACATCCATGTGTCCAAGCTTGTCTCCGAATACCTCTTTCTGCTTGCCCTCGTTTGTAATGACGTCGATAAACTCTGCCGCCGCGTCCTCGGCAAAGAATATGCCCTCGCTGGCGATGCATCGCGAGATGAATCTCTGTGCGCGTGGGAACATGTCATTCTCATACTCTGCCACGGCTGTCTCAATGCCAGAGCAATCCTTGAGCTGACCGTAAATGCCTCCTCCACAATGCTTTTTGATGCTGTTCATGAGCTTGAGTGCATCGAACATCGCCATGTTGACACCTTCGCCCACGAACGGAGTTGAAACGTGGGCAGCGTCGCCGATGAGGGTAACGCCTGGGACCGGAGCCCAGCTCATTGAGGAGACGGGCATGCGGTAAAGTGGCCACGGTCGAAAGGGGCCTTCCGCATCGGATATGAACTGCTTCAACTCAGGCGCGAAATCGCCGAAGAACTCAGGACTATTCAACAGCGTCTCTCGGCTTCCCTCTGTGTCGGCCAATTGGAGAGTGTTCCGAGTAATATCTTCCGCAGCCTTCATTCCCAGGTACAAGCGGTATGACTTGTCGGACACCTGCTGAACACCGAGTGATCGACCATGACCAATGGCCATCATGTTTCCAGGACCGGACGTTTCTACTGCCGCTGCATAGCTAGGGTTCTTGTGACTGATGCGGCCCTCGATGAACATCTTGCCAGAGTACTCCGGTTTGGCGGAAGTTAACTGTCGGCAAAGATCAGTAAACTAGAATTCGACAGTAACCGAGGATTGTCTTACCACTGCACGAACTTTGCTCCAAGCACCATCCGCTCCAACGATCAGTTGGAACCCAGACGCCGTTGAGCCATTAACGAAGCGGATCAACCAACCATTAGTACCCATCTCAATCCCCTGAACCGCATGATTCCAGTGCACCTTGTGGGAAGGAATAGAGTCGAGAAGCATTTGTCGCAGTTGATAGCGGTCGATTTCGGGAGCATCTCGCCCTTCTCCGAAGTCCTGCTTGAGGGTGCAGGTCGTGTTCTGGATGACAAATCTCGTGGCGTCAAAGCGAGCGAGCTTCTTGAACTTTTCGAAGAGCCCGGCGTCTTTTAGAGCTTGTTGACCAGAAGGGGGATGAAGGTCTAGGGTGCCGCCTTGGTACATGGGCGTCGGGGTAGAATTCGCATCTCGCTCGTAAACGACATAATCGATGTCATTCTGCTCAAGCAGACGCGCGAGGACAAGTCCACAGGGTCCGCCGCCAATTATAGCAATAGGAGGGGAATATTTGTCTGCTGCGGTGCGTGCCATGTTGGATTGATGTCGGTAAAGGTAGGCCAGGAAGACAACAGGTGACGATACTTGAGTAGTCCTCAGATGGGAAGGATTGTAAATAACGGGAAACTGATGCGTCAGAGTCTGACTATGATGTGAGAATAGACCTTTGAATCTGTCTTATCCGTGTTGGTCCAAGTGACGGCATATCGACTTTATATAGTGCGAATCTCACATTGAAGGGGGACATCTACAGCTGGACAGTTAACGGACAAATTCACCTTCAGAGCCCCGTTTGATCTGCAGGCATCCCTCAAAGCCATGCTTAAAATACGCAGCGCACTCACTCTGACCGAATCGGGAAAGGTTGGGTTACTCTCATTGGTGCACTTCGGAGCTGACTTCAACGACGTCAGCTTATCCATGTTGGGGAAAGGCTCTGGATCTCCAAGATTATGGACAGTGATTGGCTGTTCTCGGAAGGCCCGGCTGCACACTCCGAAGTCCACCAGTCATAAGTCAAATTGGCGGCCCCCACCTCACCCTGGACATATCATCTGCCAACTTCACCAACCGTCTTCCTGCTCTCTCGACACTCTCAGTCTATTCCACACAAGAGCTCCTTCTTCAACAGAAACCTGCTACTCATATTGAAAGTTTCTCAACATGGAGAAAATCTCTCTAAACCCGTCGGCGGGCAGCGCGGCGCGCTTCGCGGTAGGTGTCCTAGGATTAATCTGTCATGCAGACCACTTACTCGCGCCTGAAATCAGTGCGATTATTGTCGACAGAAGAAGTTCAGGTAAATTGACTTTGTTTGTGTCGAAGGGTCTAATGGATCTTCATGACAGGAGCTGATGATGTTGTCAGATGCTCCAAGGAACTTCCCAAATGTAGTGCTTGCAAACCTTGGCCAAGTGCTTGTACTTACTCCCGAGACAAGGAGAGGACACTATCGACGAAAGACCAAACGGCACTCCAGTAAGAAATGTCTTCGGTCGGGTCTTGAATATTCAAAGAAAACTGACGCCGAGACCTGAAATAGGCCTAAAACCTCCGGCTCGGCTGAAACAAGCAGTTCAATCGGTGGCCTGGAACAGCGACTCCAAAATATCGAACGATCGATTTTGAACTTGACGAAGTCAGTTGAACAAGTTCTATCTGCCGTACGTCCGAAAGAGTCTACCAATACAGTTTCACCCTCCATCTCCGAATCGGCAACAATGACTGGCAAGGTGGACCAAGTCACCCCCAGCTTAAACGAGGCGCAAGGTCCAAGCTTGTTCCTTGGGCCGTCTCACTCATTTTCATTTCTGAAAGAGACGCCAACTCACATAGATGCTGTTCCCAAGTCTCCAACTACTCATGCCCATCACAATGCATATTCTGAGCTCCGATATCTTTCCAACACTCTTACAACAGCCACTGTAAGCCCGGACACCATGGCCATGAAAGGGTTCCACGTCCCTCCAAAATCAGTTGGGTACCAACTAATTGGCCGTGAGTAGTAACCTATCGAGAATTACACTGATTTACTGACCATCTTCAAGAATTCCTAGAGCATTCCCCTCTCGGGGAACCCTTCTTCTGCAGCCCATCTGATGACTTGCTGAGACAGATCATCTTCGACCCAGCCAACGTCAAACAGAAGGCTTGGGTCGTGTACGTCAACTACATGATGCTGGCCATGGTGTCTGCCAATGACAGTGGGGAGAGCGTTGAGGCAAAGCAGTTCCGGCGAAACATGCGACTGGCTCTCAACGACAGCACCATCTTCCTCGAACCGACTCTAGCAAATGTACAAGCCTTAGCCCTGCTCGCCCTTCATGGCGAAGACTATGCCTCTCCTAATTTGTCCTGGATGTTGGTAGGCCACGCCTGCCGACAGGCTGAAGCCTTGGGACTGCACGCGTCAACTGATCAGGACTTCGAATCGCGACAACGGAGTTTATGCTTGTTTTGGCTCCTTTTTGTCGTAGACAAGTCATGCTCGCTTGCGTTCGGGCGGTCATCTTTCTTGCCCATGTCCCTGTACCGAGACGTGCCACTTCCGGATTTCAACTTCATGCTCAAGTTTCAACCGCACAATTCTTCTTCCTTCCGAAAATCCCGGGAAACTACATTGATCTCCTCATTTGGGGCGCATCTTCTGACTTCAGGGATGGAAGTTGCAAAGATGATGGAGTACGTATTAGATCTCTTGACACCAGGGAAAAGCCTGCTTCCCAAGGAGACGGTTAGCAGAGACCTTGATGAATGGTATCGGAAAACAATCAAGGTGAGCAGCCCTAAATCTGCGTTATAACACGGGTGCTGAAAGATGAAATTCTCTTCAGGTCTTGACGGAGATTATAGACGTAGAGCGTCCATGGGTTGAAGAAACGCAGTTGCGTGAAATGTCACTCGGTATCAGCAGTATGAAATTCCAATACCTCCACATAGTGATTCTCCTTCACAAAGGGGACCCCACTTGTGCAAGCATTCGTCTCGAGTCGGCGAGAGAAGCGTTATCACTTCTCCCGTCCATGGTCTCCAATTGGGCATCTGTTTACAACGGCGTAGTATGGTAAGAGTCAAACCATGGCCCCTTCTTTAAACTCGGATACTCGGAGCTATATCTTGTACTGACACGTTGGATTCAAGGCACCTTCTGTACTATCCGTTCATCCCCTTCTTCGTCGTCTTCGAACATATTGTTCATGAGAACAGCTTTCAAGCAAATTCTACAGTGGATCAAGATCTTAGTCTTTTGTCTACAGCCGTCTCGTACTTTGCCATGATGCGCGGGCAGCTTCGTCTGTTGGCAACAGTGTGCGCTCGACTGGAACACGTCGCCGCTGTCTTCCTGCAACTGGCACAGGTTCACGTAGGCCATCGCGCCAATGCACATTTCAGTAGCAACAACATGAGTGGACACGCCAATGTGCCGTCTGAGATACCACTCACAAATTTCTTGAGTTACAGAGGCCATGAAGACGTTGCGGCCAGCTTGCGAAAGGCACAAGACGATATCGGCACAGCTGCAAATCTGGACCTAGAGAAATTCCTGGATTGGCTTCCTGCCGAGGTCTTACCACCTTGGCCAACTGCAGATACCGTGAATCAACATCACTCGGCTTGCCATGTTGCTCCTGATTCAACAGTGGTCGAGGGGGAGCAAGCGCCCGGGGGCCGCAAGCGTACCTTTGATGCGACCTTCGACTGGTTCTCTTGGGATACATACTTTGCTGATGCCGACTCCCGCCAGTTTCTTCGTTAGGCTGGATAAGACACTAGAGTAGTTCCTGGCAGGACACTTGTTAATCAAAATTCATCATTTGGTTGAGGGACCGCACGGAAGGGGGCCATCTCCAGAGAAGTATGACACATTGGAAGAGACTAGTCGTGCCTCTAACGCAGAATCGAAAAATACAATTTCGCTATTGCTAACGCGCTTCTACGTGAGAATTCCTGGGTTTTGACAAAATAATTGCGAGAATGCCATGGAAATCTCAAATCCAAAGATCCCTTTGTCTACTTAGGGCAACCAATGCCCCAGCCAGTGGTAGTGGAGCAGCAGTCGGCATCCTATGTCACGTTGTCAGTACGATAGCAGAGTGGGAAGCGGGGCTTTGAGGCAACTCACGCATGTCGCAGAGACTGGCTTGCCGTTAAGCATGACATTCTCGCAAAAGTTAGGGCTCTGCTCAGCGCAGTAGGCCTCGCTGGTACCGCGGGGAGTTCCGCCCTTGTTCTGGTTGGTGCAAGCCTTCTGGCCCTTACCCCAGCAGCAGTTATCGAGGACAGCTTCGCCCTGGAGCCAGCCGTAAATGCGGCACTGCAAAGTTAGGGTTTGAGTTGGAAAGATTGAGAAAGATTAACGTACAGAAGAGGCGAGAGCACCGGTGGTGTAGGCAAGGCCGAGAAGAGCGATCTTGGAGAACTGCATGATGAAGGCTTGAGGTGTGTGAAGAAAGTTGACAGGTAGAGAGTGGAAAGAGTGAGGAAATAGAGTGAGTGTTGATTGACAGAGAAAGAGTGAGTATTGAGTGTTATGAAGTGCTGTGAAGTGCTGATACAAGATCTAACATGGAGCGAACAACATTCATTTTATAGCCCGGAAAGTAGGCGCCCAAACGAAGACGTTCTAGGCACTTCGGGCGAGATGGACTTCGCTCTCGGTATTGCAAGACTTCCCGGATACCACGGATGTGTCTAACAACAATATTTTCTGTGAATGGTCAAGACCGCAATTAACATCGCGCGTCTCAAAATGATCGTGTAAACTCAAAAGAAGTTCAATCATTTCAAGTGAGGATTTCTAGCGGCTTGCGTAACGCGGCTGAGTCGTCTCAAGCAACGAGACCGGTAGAGCGGGTCTTGCGGAGAGCCGCTATTTCCACTTTCTTGTGAGGTGTACGAAAGGAAACATTGGCTGAAATTTTGTCCAATCATTCAGATGAAGACAGATACCAGACCCTCCAAGCAAGGTTGCTTGGCAGCTCAAACTGAGGCGGCTCTTCCGCAAAGCCGCATAGCGAGGGTCTTGGCAACACATCGAAATAAAGACGAACCAGATCGACGAGTCAAAATAAGGTTTCTCGGTCTTCAACTGCCGTAAACAGTGAAAATGGGAAAATACTACCTGCTAATTAGTGGGCCCGTCCAATGTGCCGAGCGGATCTGTAGCTCCACAGACCACCATGACTCGACCCCAAGTTAGGCAGATGAAATGTACCAAAACCATTGCGCCTGTCTCATGACTTCTATCATGACTCGATTCTCGTATATCGGCCTCCTGAAGTGTTCACTAAACACTTCACAAGATCCAGATCTCGGACAGAAAGCTGTTTCTAATAGGAATGTCATCCCACAAATGGCCCTTCCGGACTTTTAGTTTGCCTGACAGCGCTTAGGTCCTGTTCACCATGTGGTCTAGGCATCGGCACATCACCGACCTTTGGCAATGCATCCCTTGCATAACCTCTCGAAGACTTAGAACGTAGCAAGGCTCAGGATCCCTTGAAGATGTTGTCGATTGCAGTATCTGGCGCTCTCGGTGGCCCAAGGCTAGAGTATCGACTACAATCAAGGGCGATGCTACCAGGGAACCTGTTTTTCTTTCATTGCGGGTCACCAACTCCATGTTGATGGGTGTCACCCATGAATCATTTGGAGGGTACCGAAGGATGGTGCCTCTGTAGCTGAGGCGTCCTTCGACCATCTTTCAAAGCCAGCTGCAAATTGATATATAACACGAAGTCTCAACCACCTGCCTAACGTTTCCCGACAGTTCATCACCCATCCATCATTTTCACCATCTCAATCTATAACTTTCCTTAAAATTCATTCACTCGAGTCAACGTTCACTTTTCTTATCAAAATGCAGTTCTCTCACATTCTCTTGGCTGGTCTTGCTACCACCGTTTCCACCGTCATGGCTGCTCACGTATGTGATCCTCAGTAGCATGCAAATCTGAAATCTGCTAACACAATTCAGTGCCGGATCGGAAGCGCTACCCGTGCCGACTGCTGCTGGGGTGGCGAGGATGGCTACAAGTCCTGCTGGCGCCAAAACAAGGACTCGGTATGGACTATTTCTTACATTCCAACACAACATACTAACGATCTTTCAAGTCCTTCTGCAAGTCCGACTCAGCCAACTACTGCACCAACGTCGATGGCCCTAGCGGAGCCAAGATGTCTACCACTTGTGTAAGTTCGACTCCGGTGAAGTTGTGGGATGCTCTAACGCAAATAGGGTGCTGATTGCTGCAACACCCTCAACGGCTGGGGAACTGGCTGCCCCAAATAGACGGTTGATGGCAATTGTTTCTGGGGGTGTTGGGGTCTGAAAGCGTCTCACGAAGATAGTTCTATTCACATTTAGAAGCATGCAATGGACTGTTACATCTTGTCTTCGATCTGAGTTTGCATGGGTTCAAATGAAGGGCCCTCATATGACGACTACTCTGTGATGTCTTTTGTGATATAATTGTCCGCGCAATTATGCTGCTAGAGCCGAGTTTGTGATTATAATGATTGATTCTATGTGCGCACAACGATAGCCGAAGTCAATGCGGCGGCAAGAACTGGGTTCTAAGCTTAACTTGACTGTAAATGATATTCGCCAGTCCGCGTTAGAGTTATCAAAGTCTCATTAGATACTCAACTAAAAGTGCCCAGAAAATAGACTTTGGGGGCCCGCCTTATGAACCGCCCCCAGACCGACGTGGGTGACAGGGATCCTCCCTCCTCGCAACAACAATTGAGGTCCTTCGAAACCGAGCGCGAGCCTTGCTATATTCGTAACGTAAGAAACGGGGCGAGAGTCTTGGCGATAAGCAGCTCAAACTGTGTCACTTGAAAAGAATGGCATGCAGTAGGCCGAAACGGGCAAGCTAGATAGGTACGGGGTACCATGCCGATCGCGCTGATATTCTCGGCCTGTGCAATATTTCCCGAAAACCTTCGTACCAGAGTGTGAGAAGATCGACACATCCCATGTGTCAAAATCGGATTGTGGTCCGTGACGGTAAAGTTGAGACAGATGATGATCATCAACCAGGTGCTCGGTATTGCTCCACTCTAAGCGCGCATAGCTCGAGTCATCTATCCTCGTGTACGAGATGCATACCGGGCCTGCAGCGGAGCGTCTGATATTTGGGCAGACGGAAAGCGCGACACACCGGCAGACCAACGAATTCCTTGGCAGTTGTGGATATTCTGTGATTGATTAAGCTGCTTCGTGTGCTGATGGTGAGGCGTCAGATGATGCACCGCCTTCTCAGAACTGAGTTTAGCTTGATCATGTTGTCTGAACTACTTTTGATTGATCACTTCAGACTGATTCGGATGGCATCCAGAACTATGATTGTGATTGAGTCTGACTCGAATGACCGAGGCTTCCGATGGCAAGCAGGAAGAATCGATGGGGGTTCTAAGATTGAACAGTCGTATAAGACACCCCAAAGCTCCTGAGTGATATTGTTGCTACTCACTCATCATCCTCTCCAGATACAAGGCATTCTTTACTTCTTCACTCACTTAAGACAACGTTCACTAAACAACAACTCCAACAATATTTCGTTCAAAATGCAATTCTCCGTCACTCTTACCGCCATCCTCTCGGCAGTTGCCGTCCCTGCCGTTCTTGCTTCTGAGGCAGGTTTTCTACCACACGTATCCATGGATATCAAATTGGGTACCTAACTAATGCATTGGATAGTGTAAGATCGGGTTCAACAATCCTCGAACAGACTGCTGCTGGGGAAAGGGGCAAAAGTCTTGCATGAACCAGAACGGCGACGCAGTTTGGTGCGCCGGTAACTCTGCCAACTTCTGCTACAACGTTAAGCGTCAGGGTACTGATATTCCCGTCTCCGACACATGCGTAAGTTTTCAAAGCCATCTCAAACAAAAGTCACCGTAACTAAACTGCACCCTAGGACGCTGATTGCTGCGATACAAAGACCGGCTGGGGTATTGGATGCCCCAAATAAGCCAAGGCTTTTGAGATGATGTAGAATAGGCATGGTATCAACGTTTCATATGCAGACTGGTGTTGGTTTTCTTCAGAAGTTCAAAATGCATTTAGTCTTCCTAGCGATATGTTGAATTCTGTTGGCAAGTGCTCGGCCATGTTTCAATTCAATTGAGCCTTCTGTGTGACGTTGAAATAATTCCAATATATTTCAGAAACCACCGAGAGCTCGGCATTATCATCAATCATCAGAAAATCAACGCAAAATCTACCATGTATTCTAGTTTCTGGATGCAAGAATTGTTTGGTTACATCTGCGGTTCTGTACGTCTACATGACGCGTAAGGGATCGAAAACACCTTGGGATGTCCGTCCAATTCCTATCCCACCAGTTGGGTCTCTTCCGTCCGTTACATCAAATGTTAAATTACGGCTCCAACACACCCTTACGAATTATGTTGCCTGGTTCCTTAGCAGGAACGTACTTCGGCTCTTGGTTGTGTTGAAAATGGACACTTCCGTAGCGCATAAGCTCCGCAAATGTTCCCGTCTCACGATCTTTCTCTTCGTTCTCATTCATATCCCACAAGGCCCCGAGTGCCTTCGTGGACGTCATGCCTCCTGCGCGCGTGACCTTCTGCATTGTGGACGAGGTCATCAAATACCAAACCGTCTTGTAAGCCTTCTGGTACGCTTCGGACTCAGGGTCAGCATCAAGTCTCGTATTCAAGAGGTCGAACAGCTCTTCCCCATTCCAACCAATCATGGCCTCTGCGGGCCAATCCTCCCATAGCGCATCGAAGAGAAGCACTTTAGTGCCGTAGTACTCTACGCCATCGAAGCCCCCGTTTGGCTCCTGCAAGGTGCTGATTCGCATCCAGCACATAATTTGTGCGACATACTCCAGGACCTGTGGTATCGGGGTGTCCCAATTCCAAGCGAAGCCTCTGGCTTCAAACTCCGCCATGTCAATGTCTTTAGCATGCTCCATCAGAGGATGCGCGAAGAGGCCCTCTGCACTGGTTCGATCCTTCCACAAAGTCATGAAGAGATCATGCCTAATCAGTGTAAGCTGCAGGTTCATGATATAAGGGAAACTGCCTACGAGCTTACCAATGCTTGATGAAAGGGTCACCTTTCCGACTAGCGATGAAATGGTTCGCCACGCCCCGTAGATACATCCAAGGTGCTGAGACTTGATATGGCATGTTTGGGTCCTCCAATTTGTTCCAGCAGAGATCATCGATCGAGCGGAACAGAATTGAGCCGACATCCATCCATACGCCGCCGTACTGATAGAGGCATATCCCGCGGAGGAAGTCCGCGCTGTGAGGGCCAGTGTATCCCAAGGGCCCATCCATTTTCTTGGCGGTGAAAGCTTCAGGGAGGTCTTCTTCCTTGACCCAGTTCAGAGCATTGCTCGGGGAGTCGCTGACGACGTCGAGGACACGGATAGTCCAGGATGGGCCGCAGATGCGGGACCAGTCGATGACATTTCGCTGACACCACGCGGGCATCTGGCGGAGCCCAGCATGCCAAAACGCCCAGATGTTCTTTTCTGATGTCACCGGAGGAGGGCTTTCGATGGATTTGAGAATTTCATCGTCTGATCGAGAATCAAGAGATTCAACATAGCGAACCTTGTCCTGGAACTCGGCCGGAATTTCGAAGCGGGGAGGCGCCATGTTGATGAAAAGTAGCCTCAAAAGTGTGATATTGTCCGATTTAGTAGCACAGCAATACTAACGCACATTTGAGGCGACGAATGTGAGCTTATTTGTATTTAACGGGATACCCTGGAGTGAGTGTCGAAAACATGTTGATAACCATCACCTTGGCGATAAAGAACACTACAACTTAGCGCTTATGCCCACCCGTTAGCTCGTGCCACAAGCTTACTGCAAGGAGGAAGGATTACCCAGGAGCACATACGCGACAGTCAGAAGTTCCTTACCGGTGGAGTACAAGTGTCGAGCGCTCCAGAGTCTTACGGCCCTAGCCGAATGGGCTTGTGGGATGACGTGATATTCTAAGCCAAGCCCGACTCTGAGGTTGCACTGCATTAATTGCAGCAGCTTCACCCCTACTACATGTCCAGGAGGATTCGCCGTGTTTAAGTCGATCAGAATTGATGCACTTGCTTCTGCCACCGAGTCTTGAGCTTCTTTTCCCATCAAGCGATGTGGTTTATCGGATCATTAGGGTGCAGACCTTCCGGAATTTGTGCTCATATTTTGGTGTTCTCTCCACCTAGGCAGACGTCAGTCAGGTTTCCAACATTGGGCCTTTTGGACTGGGAGCTGGATATATCATGAATCTGATATGGAAATGCAATTGTAACTATGAAGTTGAGTAGCTATCATCATGCCCTTCCCCAGCCCTGTTCGAGCACATCCTTAGCCTTCATTGCCTTGATTTCCGGAAACTCCTCGTTAAGGGTACGGCTGGGTTTGAGATCAGCCTGTCCTCGCTCGCAATTGAGCCCAAATGGAGCAAGAAAACTGTGCAGCATCTCTTTCGGATAAATCTGATAGAATTGGCGATGAGAGGGCAGTTCCGTCAGCTTGCACGCCTGAAGGTCCTCAACCGAATCATGCGCCACCGTAAACTTGGTAGCTGGACGAGCCGTCAGAAATTGGCCAAAGGGGAAGCCCTCAGAGTACTTGCCTTTGACTTTCTCGGCCAAGCGCACCATCTCGTGGAAGGTAACCTTGTCACCAATGATGTACGTCTCCGCGGGCCATTTGCTCTTTTCGAGCAATGCAGCAACGAGACGCGCGACGTCAAAGCTGTGCGTGAACACAACAGGCACCTCCCCAGATCCGGGAATGGCCGCCACATTATTCGCAACGTCCACGAAGAAAGATACATCATCCATGTAACTCTTCACCTTCGGGGTACCGAAGTAGTCGAGGAAGTATCCGTTGTAGACAGCCGTCCACTCAAGCGACGTTGACTTTAGCGCTGCCAAGGCAGACTTCTTGGCCATTGCGGGAGGGAATGTCTCATATTGCCTGGACAAAAACTCAGGCGTGAGATCCAATCACATCTCGGACCCCAAATGGAGAGGAGGCTTACTCGGGCAAATACGGTACCCCGAAGTAACTCGGAATGAACCGTTTGGTGGTACTGGACCTCTCAGCTGCTCTAATAAGATTGAGCTCGGCGTCGTTTTCTCCCGTGATGTTGTTGACGGCGGAGATAACAATTTCAGTGCTGTTTTCTTGGAGAACGCTCACAAGAGAATCGACGTTGGCGTAATCGACGGCCACAAATCGAATGCCATTCGAACCAGCGGGGCTTCCTGAGACCTATCTCCACGTTATCATGTATTGCAAAGAAAGAAAGCCGGGCCGAATACCTTTCTTGTTAGGACGATGACTTGGTACCTGCCTCGAGCCTGTATGGCTTCAACAAGGGCGCGCCCGAGACCTCCAGTACCACCTGCGATAGCAACAGACATATTGATGTATTGTGAGAGATGATGGAAGAGTTAGTTGTGAAGCACAAAGCTGAAGTCGTGGAACAAGGTATGGCTTTATATAGAACCTCGCAGGAAAAGCAACGCTTGCCATCTTACTAAGAATAGGCGAAGACATTTTCGGTTGCCCCCAATGTGTCGATTATCTCCAAAGTCCGGTCAAAAGCACAGTCCCCTTAGAGGGGGTCGCCGCGAGGTTGTTATTGCCGGGTTCGGATAACTAACATTAGGTTTCGGAGCGTTCGGGAACCGAGACCCGGACCGGCTCCGTTTCGGTCGGTCCTCCGTCCGGAAATGTTTCATGGATCAACCATCACAGCAGTAGCATAACTCGAGTTTCTACTATGCCTACTTACTATTGGCACCAGCTGTGCATTTTTATCATGCGTAGGCCAAGGAGATACCAAATATTTAGGATGCATTCAAGAGCTTGAGGCGGTGGTCTTGAGCACACACGCGTATCTGTCACGGGCTAGAGCCCGGATTGATATCTCCGGCTTCGCCGGAGCAGTTACCGAGATCCGGCTCCGTTGGACCCACTATTCTGCCGCAGTACGCCGCCTAACCCGGCCTGCTTCACCGCTGTTAGGTGCCTACCCTTG